CAAAAAAAAAAGCAATAGGGTATATCTGCCTAGATAATCTATGACTTCTCCGTCAGTATTAGGTAGTACCTGTGCACCTAGAGGATTAGGTAATACTACTGATTTTTCACTAATGAGATTGACAGTAGATATACAATTCGACAGTCTAATTCTTCGATATTTTGCAAAAGAGAAATTCCACTTGTGTTCTTTGAGTTCTTTTAACTTTATAATTACCACATATCGATAATCGAAATTCGAAACTATAGGAACATCCTACACTAAGTTGCCTAAAATTAGTGTGAATATCCAATGTTCTCCATCTGCCAATTCGTAAAAATGTCAAATAATTAAAAGGTAGGTAAGCTTCAATTTTCATTTTTCTCTCATAGCTAAATGAGTTTATTTTTGCTATGTGTATGTATTTATACATTCCAGGAAAATAAGCAAAACCTATAGTAAATCTAGCAAGGGAAAATGCATATAAATTAGGCGTATTTTTAATTGAAATGTTCAAGTGATCCTTTGAACGTTCAAACCATTACAGCTGGGAAAGTTTAAAATATTAATAGTACGTCTTGTTGGAAAAAGTATTGGATGATTACGGAGAATAAAAGATTTAGCTTGACGCGTGTCAAGGACACTGTCTTTGAGGATATTTCGCCTACACCATAATGAATAAAATTAGGCATATCCCCCAGGATTCAACAAATTTTTCTAGTATAAACTAGGAGCAAAAACATAAAAAAATTGAATAAAAGAAACCTCAACACAAAAGAAAGAATAAGAAAAGCTTTTACTTTTTGTCACACTTTTTTCCACCCATCAAAATGATCACAAAGGAATATTTATATATAGTCCAAAACTAATGTAAGGCCCCGTAAAATTTTTCTAAAAATTCGGGTTCCGTGATGCCAAAGTAGGCGTAGAGATTAATAATAGTAGTTCGGACTTTTTGGGTTGAACAATGCACTGAAAAGTAAAGGAAAATTTTTGGCAGAACAACGCGTTTCTGCGGTCCATTATGCAACCGCAGAATCACTCTGCGGGCCGCATAAGTGAGGCAGGAGAGAGTCAGTCTGGAAACAATTATGCGGTCGACTATGTGACCGCATAATTATTCTGCGGTGCATTATGTGACCGTAGAATAGTTATGCCGGTCGCATAGTGACCGCAGATACAGATAGATTTTTGGTCGTTTTGGTCATCAATTATGTGACCGATATGCGATCCGCATATTGATTATGCGATCGCAGAACCTGTTCCGGAACTTCATTTTTGGGAGTTTTAAACACGACCCTATTTCGTTAAAACAGACCCCATGGACCACTTTGAGCATATTTTCTAATATTTTTAGAGTGAGAGAGAGAGGGTCCTAGAGGGAAAAGTGATCTTCATCAAATTGTTCTTCAATTCTCACTCTTAATTTTAAAATGTAACTAGAATGGGCCATTAGTAAGGTAATTAATGGGGATGAGAGTGCTTACTTTGCATGCATGTATCTTTGTAGTATGTGGGAAGATTGTGAGCTAATAATAGTAGATAGTGTATCGGGAAGTGATGGAATCTTCCACAAAAGAACATTAAAACATTGATGAACACCTAGTGTTTGGCAGTATGCTCAAATGAGCCAAAACCATATTCATCTTCCTAATTTTTGTTCAATTTTGTTATATTGCTAAAATAGATTGAAGTTGCTAATAGTCCAGAACATCTTAGAGTTTTAAGAGGCTCAATTGAGGTATATTGGCTAAACCCCCCTTCTTCTTAGAATCGAATCCCACGACGTTTATGTAATTGTAGTAAGTCCTTGATCATTATTGAATTGGCTTTTCCTAATGTGGTTATGTTGAAGGATATTTGTTCAATGTGTATGCTAAATGCTTCATCATGTCATCTTGCCATTTGAGAATATGTTCAAAATGTGGAATATGTGTTAAGAATGTTAAGACTTCATGTCAAGATTGAAATAAAGGTTGTTTTGCCAAATTGTATGAAAGGCCCCTATGTGCCTGAGATTTCCCAAATTGCTCATATGTGAATTAATGTCTTGAATGGGAAGCCCTATTGATGACGATAATGATAATGATATTTGAGGGTGGAAAAGGGAACTGGAACTATGAAATACGGCCAAGTGCCAAGAATAACTTTGTAATCGTAATCACTAGTGCCAATGAATTAAAAGTATATGAAAGAAGTTCGATGTGAGATGTTTGACTGAAGAAGGTAATGTCTCAAATGAGATGGCCTAGCCGATCGGGCCGAGATCGTACTCCGTGTAAGAATACAGTGGTATTGTGAACGAAATTATGGTAATGTCTCAAATGAGATGGCCTAGCCGATTGGACCGTGATCGGACACTATGTCGCACACATGTGGCACTGTGCTGAAAATTATAATAAAATTATGGTAATGTCTCAAATGAGATGGCCTAGCCGATCGGGCTGAGATCAGACTCCGTGTAAGAATACAGAGGTATTGTGAATTGAGAAATATCGGTACTAAAGACCACCCAACCTAATAATATGGAGACTGACTTGAAGACGTATATGATCCTTAACTTGTTGTTTTACTATTATTTGAAGCCTTATTGAATTCTTGATTGTCCCTCTTGTATTATTATTCATTCTACTGAGTTGGTGTTTAGCTATACATACTAGTGCTATTCGACGGTACTAACGTCCTTTTTGCCGGGGGTGCTACATCTTTAAATGGATGCAGGTGGTTACATAACAGACAGTGCGGATCTCAGATAGTGATGCATTCTCTTCTCAGCGGACTCGGTGAGCCCCATTTCATTCCGGGGTCATGTATTGTACCTTTTGTTTATATCATGGTCACTTTTTGAGGTATAGCCGTGGCCTTATTGCCGGTACCGTATTTACTCTCTTTTGTATCTTTAGAGGCTCCGTAGACACTATGTGGGTTGTACATGGGTGTTGGGAATGTTAAACAAGTTATGTTGTGTTTGATCACTTGTTCCACTTGAACTATAAGAAATGTGTATTTTGAGACTTAAAGGCACAATGACTAATAAAATAATTTAGGATTGTATGAATGAGATTCCTACTGTATAATTAATGAAATCACGCCTTTTCTTGATCATGGGTCAATTGGGTAGAAAGTATCTAACATGCTTGCTCGGCCGGATTCACTCGGTTGAGCGCCGGTCGCGCTTCCCGGGGATGGGGCGTGACAACTAATATGGACATCTGATAAAATTTGAAGTCATTAAGGCTAAATGTAATAGACGTTAAGAAGCTATATAGCCATTAAGATTTAGGCTACTGATCACGCCAGCTCTAGTCCTAAAAAGGATAAGCGGTCGCTGCATTTATAATCCGGTCTAAGAGTCCGGAGTCGAATCCCACAGAAAACTAAGATTTAACTACAACTGTTCACTATTACCAAGACGACAAGCTTGAACAATTCCTAAGTTATTAATATTAAGATTCTTATGTCTAACTAATTAACTAACAAATTAAAATAATAAATTAACAACTAAAGATACTAAGGGTTGGAGACAAGATTAAGGAGGTCTAGAGTTATGATTTCTTCAATTGTCGGAATCCTTCCCGCTACGTCTCCTATAATTTCGCCTAATTATTCTCTACTGATCATGAGCACTTCAGGTGTCGTAATTCTCTCCCAAGTAACTACAATAATTTACTAGGCATATTCTCCCAAACTACGTTAGCTGGCACAATCTTACCGCTCACTATGACCACATCAAAGCTTTGTTATTCCTAAACCCACCTTTTAACCCGTCGTATTGATTCCTCATATAAGTTAGGAGTGACTTTGTTCAACAACTACCTA